GTGTACCATGTGTCTCAGAGTCTCCTGACAGAAACTGCCATTGATGCTGCAGCTGGACGCCCCCCCCTTAGACTTCGAAAGCCCAGAAGCAGCAGCAACAGTAGCAGCAAACAAGTTCCAGATCAAATCCCCATTTTTAGACTCACCCATGGTGAGTGCTGGGGAAAGGCCTCGCTCCAGGCTGGATGCCAGCTGTGCCATCAGCCCCAGCCAGATCCTGATGTGAAGGTCACAGCTGAGGCACATGGGAAGCAGAGGGGGCTCTTCTGAGAGGAGCCATACCAGGAATTCCCACTTCAGGAGAACAGCCAGTTTTCATGAAACCAAACAGGCCTGGCCATTCCGGGAGAGGAACATGTCCACTCTGACTCCACGGCAAGTCCCCACCTACAGTTCTAGGACACAGACCTGGGACCATGCAGAGGGCAGGTTGAGGCCTCCAAGTTGAGGCATCCACCTGCTTCCTGAAAAATTGGAACATTACCAAGGGGCAGGGGGAACCAGTGGTCCCCTGAGCCCTGTCCCTAAATCCTACACCATGGGGCAGCCCACAAGGAAACCAGACCTGGCAGATCATCAGGCAGGGTTAGCGGCAGGAGTTGAGAGAACACAGACTCAACAGAGCCCGGAGGGGACCATCCCCCAGTCACAGAAGTGTCTTAAGGGAGCAGTCTTCTCTCCCCCACCTGCCCCAAAGATGGTTACCAGAGGGTCAGTCCACTGAGCCCTTCTCAATTTAGAAAAGACAAATGTCAGAGCTTCCTGGCCCATCCTGAGTTTGCTTTCTACGACAACACATCATTTGGCCTCACTGAGGGTGAGCAGAGGATGCTGGACCTTCCAGGATATTTTGGGTCTAATGAAGAGGATGAAACCACGAGCACACTTAGTGTGGAGAAGCCGGTAATCTAGATCAAGAATCTACCTGAGATTTTTTGTGATTGGGGTCCCTTGCCCAGGTTGTGATATTGACTGTTCACATTGTTCTGTGGACTGTTTTGTATAACTGTTTGTACACCCTCTTGTAGGACACAATGTGGGGAGGAAGTAGCTCACAGAGAGGAGAATGTGTGTGTGTATACACGTTTTAATTCATAAGGAAGAAATTATTTATCCTGAATTTTCCTTTTGTTATCCTATGTCTATTGGCTTGTTACTAATAACAATAATAAAATTTAAATAAAAGCAAAGCAAAAAAAAAAAGTCGGAATTCTAATCTACATGCATCTGACCCCCCCCAAACCTGGTGACTTCAACTATTATACCATTTCCAGTTGATCTTTGCTCCAAGAATTTATTTTCTTTTCCTCATTGATCTACGTGTTGAGTTGGAGTCTCACTGTGTGGCCTAGGCTGGTGCCCCACTGCTGCCTCAGCCTCTTGAGCAGCTTGGACTACAGGAGCCTACCACTGTGCCCAGCTAAAGAATTTTTTTTTTTCATTTTTTGTGGTAGTGGTAGTTGGAGGGGGGAGGTTGAACCCAGGACCTTGTACATACACTTTTTATTTTTATTTTTTTCTTAAATTCTTTTATTGGTCATTTTAGGTATACAATATGTTCACATTTATCATTGGGTGCTTGTACCTGTACATGATGTATCTTGGTTCTTATTTTTTCCCCATTCCCTGTGCTCCCTTCGCCCCCTCCACCTTCCCTATTTATAAAGACTTTGTTTCCATTTTTTCCTTTTCTCATAATTTTTCCTTTTCCCTTCCCCTCCCACTTCCCCTACCCCTTTGGACATTTTCTTCCTATTTCAAATTATCAATTATTCATTTTAATCATTTTAATCCTTATTTACACTTTCAGTTTCTCACACTAGAGAAACTATTCGGTATTTACACATGTGTGTCCTATTTATTTCACTTAAGAGTATGGCCTCAGTTTGCAGCCATTTACCTATAAATGTCTATAGTTTCTCATTCTTTATGGCTGAGTAGTACTCCATTTTATAAAAAAAAAAACTTCTTTATCCAGTTTCCAGTTGATGGGCACTTGGGCTGTTTCCAAGCTTTAGCTATTACAAACTGTGCCGCTATAAACATGGGTCCACATATATCACTGTGGTATGATTCTTTTAATTCTTTGGGGAAGATACCCAGTAGGGGAATAGCTGGGTCAAATGGGACCTCTGGCCCTAGTTCTTCGAGGTATCTTCACACTGGTTTCCATAGTGGTTGCACCAGTCTGCACTCCCACCAACAATGGAGAAGGGTTCCTTTCTCCCTACACCCCCCGCCACCATTTGTTATTGATTTCTTGATAGCAGCCATTCTTTCTGGGGTGAGGTGGAATCTCAGTGTTGTTTTCATCTGCATCTCTCGAATGACCAGTGATGTTGAACATTTTTTCATATGTTTATTTGCTGCTTTTACTTCGTCTGAGAAATGTCTGTTCATATCAGATGCCCATTTTTGAATTGGGTCTTTGAATTTGGGGGGTCTGATTTTTTTCAATTCTTTATATATTCTAGATAGTAGTCCTTTGTCTGAGGTACAGCTGCTAAAATTTTTTCCCACACTGTAGGCTGTCTCTCAGCTCTGTTGGTGGTTTCTCTTGCAGTGGAGAAGTTTTTATTAAGATGAGATCCCAGTTTTTGATTCTTTGTTGCACATATACTTTAAAAAATAGGCTTATGTTTCCTGTGTTTGGTGTTGGGATGGAACCAAAGGCCTCATGCATGCTAAGCCCTAGCTTTACCACTGACTTACATATCCAGTGCAATAGACTTTATTGCTCTATTTATTTGCTTATTTTTTTTCCAGTGCTGGGGATTGAACCCAGCTCCTTCACACTGAACTCCTCCACCCACCCCCCTTTTTTTTGGTACAGGGATCAAACTTGGGTCCTTGCGCTTGCACAGCAGGTGGCGAAACCACTGAGCTAAATCCCCAGCCCTTTCTTACTTTTTAGAGATAGGATCTTGCTAAGTCACTAAGTTGCTCAGGCTAGGCTCGAACTCATGATCTTCCTGCCTCAGCCTCCCAGAGTGCTGGGATTACAGGCATGTACCACACCTGGCTAATAGACTTTAAATTTTTGAGCAGGAAAACTGAATGGGAAACACTGAGTTCCTATATACTGCTTCCATAAGTCTCCGTATTTCCCTATGATTAATCTCTCATACTTGTGCGTGCCCATTACAATTGCTGATCCAACATTGACACGTAATGAGTCTGTAGCTGACATTAGTGCTCACTGTTCCCTATGTACATTCCATGGCTTTTGAGAAATGTATAATTACACGTCTACCATTATGGTACCATCCAAAACAGTCTCTGTGCCCTAAGTTTCCCATGTCCCACCTGTTCATCCCTCCCATCATCCATCTCCAAGCCCAGCAACTTGTTTGTTGGGAATTGAACCCATGCTAGCCTAGGACTTTTATTACTGAGCTACGTCTTCACCCTATTTTTTTTTTTTTTGGCTTTTTGAGAAAGTCTCACTTTGAAGTTCAGTCTGGACTTGAACTACGTAGCCCAGGTTGCCCTCAAAGTTATGAATTCATGGTGATCTTCCTGCCTCAGCTTCCTGAATGCAGGGATAACAGATGTGCATCACCAGCCTAGCTACAAATAAGGCTTCTATGAGCATTTGTGTGTAGGGTTTTTTTTTACGGTACCAGCGATCAAACTCTGGTCCTTCCGCTTACAAGGCAGGCACCAGAACCACTGAGCTAAATCCAAGGCCCATGTGTAGATTTTTTGCTGGATATGTTTCCAAACTCACTTGGGTAAATTTAACTTTTGTATTTATGACACACATTCTCCTAGATTCTAGAACAATGAATATACTTTAAAAAGTAAGCATACTTGAGATCCTCTTGCCTCAGCTTCCCAGAGTGCTGGGATTACAGGCGTGTGTCACACTGCTCAGCTCTTCTTTCAGTATCTTTTGAGGTAATTATTAACATCATCTTTCAGATCTTTTCCAAAGCGTATGTACACACACACACACACACACACACACACACACACATCAGTATTTTCTGGGCATGGTGGCCCATGAGTAAATCCCAGCATTTGGAAGGCTGAGGTACTGACTGCCTCAAGTTCAAGGCCAGACTGGGCTGTATAGCCAGACTTAAACAAAAAAGTTGTAATTTATGGGTTGGACTCCCATGGGTGGCCCTGATCATCTCCCACAGGGTCACTTGAGTGGCCACAGCTGGCTGCTGGGTGGTCTAGGATGGTCTTATCTCGTCCAGCCTCAAGAGACTCACCTGGGCTTCTTCACGTGGGTGTAACTGTCCCAGGAGGCAATGGTAGCTGCCAGACCTAGGCTTGTAGGTCCCATGACATTCATGCTACGTGCTGTTTGTTGGTCAAAGCCCAAAAGGAGTAGGGGAATACATTCCATCTTTAAAAACTTTGCTTGGGCCAAGGATTTAGCTCAGTGGTTCCAAGCAAGCGCAAGGACCCGAGTTCTATCCCCAGTACAAAAAAAACAACAAAAAACTTCGCTAATCTGAATGCATCCAGGATTATTATATTGCATATAATTATAAATAACTGAAAGCTGCATATCCATAGAATAGACTTCTACACCTGGCAGCAAGTCGCTTTCTTTGCAATCATCAAAATGCATCAACTGTGTTATACAGCACGCATGCTTCTAGCTAATAAAAGGAGCCATCTTATATTCAGCTGTTGTATTTAGACAGCAATGCCTGTAGGGGAGGGGTGGACAATACAGATGGGGAGAAACGGATGTTCAGTATTGAAAGGGAGGAAAGTGTCAGTGGAGCCGTAATTGTTTCTCAAGGTGTCCAGTTATACTGACTGTTTCAGGGACCACAGAAAATGCCACTCCCACCCATTGCTTAAGGCTGGGAGAAAACTGCTAAGAAAGCCAGACACCAGGACCCAGAGCTCTGCCACTCTCAGCACTGGCTTCACAACAAAGGAAAAATGTGCCTCCAGCAGGGCCAGCCCCCCCACCCCCAAGGGCAAGAATATTTTCAAAACAGTAACAATAACAGAAACAAAGGACACAAACACAACCTGGCAGTTATTTAATTTGGTTCTTAGAAATTCAGAACACCAATTTGTGAGGGTACATTCCATTTGTCAGAGCAAAAAGGGATCGGATGTAGCCCCTGAGCTGAGGAACAGCTTTGATTTTTGGTAAAATCTGCGAGTCCACCACTCTCTGATCCACCTTGCGCTGCTCTGAAATCTGGTATCTCTACACAAAAAGAAAAGTAAACATTTAAAAACAAGCACAGGTACCAAGCTATTCCGCTAAGGAATTCAATCTCACCACCCTTCCCTTGGGGCTGCGAAATACCATGTCTTTGAATGAAAGCAGTGTTTCTTGTTTCTTTTGTCCACTTTAGTACACATCAAGGAGAAATAGCATATTTCTGACACTCTTCAGTGCTTACACTTGTTTTTCCTTCTGTGCAATAAAGCTTAGCCTGCTCTATTTTCAATCCCAACGAAGAGGGACAGGATAGAACCTCACCTCTTTCTCGGTGTCGAAGATCTCACCCTCCTGGTGTCTGGGCCTCCGCAGCTTCTTCTTTTTGAAGTAAGCATCAGTGAGGTGTTTGGGGATTTTCACGTTGCTGATATCAATTTTGGTGGAGGTGGCAATGACAAACTTCTGGTGTGTTCTACGCAGAGGAACTCGATTAAGGTTAAGAGGACCTGGAGGAAAAAATTAATTTAGTGAGCTAAAAGGGAAATAATCACTTAATAACTGAGCAGGAATTAAGCCTGATTTGGAGAAATTCCAAAATTGTCCCAGCACCTGGAATGTCCCCAAATCTTCATTTGTTTAGCCCCCCTCTGCCTCAATCTTTTTCAAGTGAGCCAGGCTAGAAAGAGGCGCAGTCACATATACAGGCTGGTCACATTTACAGTACCCCGAAACTGCATATTGCTTGTCTGGAACCAACAATTCACTTTTCATGTTTACAAACTCCATCCCGATACCAAGTGACAGTAACTCCAAGTTTATGCAGGGTGACTTCCTTGGGAATAGAGGCCAGTTGTGGATTTTAGTCGATAGTTACTTGATGTGTTGCCATGAAAAATGTAAATACCCACCACCACATAACCCTTAGGATATACAAGGCAATAAAACGGGGCCCAGCAGCTCTTGGCATTAAGTGGCTTCCATGAAGTGGGTAGCAACTGTATGCACTACAAGTGTTTAAAAGTCTAAGTTGTGGCCAGGTGTGGTGGGCACACACATATAATCCTAGCTATCCGGAGGCACAGGGAAGAGGATCACAAATTCAAGGCCAGCTGAGGGAATTTAGCAAGACAGAGTCAAAAACAGAGCAACCTAATTAGAGCCCCAAATTTCAAAGAATATAGCCAGGCACGGTGGAGCACAGCTGTAACCTAACCACCTGGGAGACCGAGCCTGGAGGATCGCTGTGAGTTTGAGGTCAGCCTAGACTACACAGTTTGAGACCTGTCTCAAAAAAAGCAACACAACAGCAACAACAAAAACCCATATAATAATAAAAAGAAAAAATGCAAGGATTTTCTTACCAGTCACAAGTAGCAAGCCACTGGCCAGCTGCTTCAGGAAAACCACTCTCTGTAAATTAAATGAAATAGTTTTTTTCGATACTGGGGACCAAACTCAGGAGCTTGCACTTGCCAGGCAGGTGCGGTGCCACTGAGCTAAATGCCTGGCCCTATTGAATAGTTTTTAACTGCAATGAAATCTGACTTTTGGATTAATCAAATTTATGGGGCATCTAAATTTGGCAAAGGAAATTTCTTCATGCATGTTGTTCAGCATTTCTGGAAGCAAATCACACTAGCCTATTTAAGAAGTACACATAAACATGTTTTGGAGCAAATGGGCCTGTGTCGTTTATTATATAACCAACAGCAGAAAATGATTATGGATTAAACTTGGTAAAGAATCCTACAAACACAGGATCCAGCCCTCCAGGCAGATGCCCAAGCCCCACAGGCTAAGGTTCTCTGCTCACCTTGCCTCGGTGGCGCCCAGTGAGGATGATCAAGACGGTGCCGGGAGTGATGCTAGCTCGAAGTTTCCTCACGTGCTGACTGAAGGGCTTTTTGCCGTGGCTCAACAGCTTTCGGGGCACATCTTCAGTAGGGTAATACCTAGGCTGGAGAAAGCACATGGGTTCCAGTTAAGAAAGTCCTTAAGCTCAGGACAGCTGACTTTGGTTGGCAAAGGAACCTCTGCTCCAGCTATTCTTACTTATTTGAAACCATACTCTATTGCCTTTTCCTTTTTTTCTAAGTAGATTTAAAATTTGAAAACATTGCTTCTGTATCTTCTATGTACAAAACATGATGGGAATAATTTAACAAAAGATGTGTATTCTAATACAAAGACAGGATCAAGCAGGTTACCTTTATAAACTTCGGATAAAGGCAAACCTCAGGGATGGCATGGCAGGCTAGTTTCTACAGTTCTGGAGCAGCACCCTCAAGCCTTACTAGCTGCTGACCCTGTAGCATAAACTCTTTCAGAAAAACACACCCTGGCCAGCGTAATGGTGTGCATCTGTAATCCCAGCACTCGGGAGGCTGAGGCAGGAGGATCACTGAGTTCCAGGCCAACCTGGGCTATATAGTGAGACCCTGTCTCAAAAACAAACAAAAAACCCCATGTCTGACATACATTTTATATCTTAGAAACAAAGGAGGGCACGCTGGAGATTTAGCTCAGTGGTTCCACCGCCTGCCTTGCAAGCGCAAGGACCCGTGTTCGATCCCCAGTACCAAAAAAGACAAAAAACGGGGCTGGGGATTTAGCTCAGTGGTTCCATAACCTGCCTTGTAAGCCCAAGGACCTGAGTTTGATCCCTGGTACAAAAAAATAGTAGGTATTAGCACTGACAGTTTGCTTAGCGTTAAAATACACACATACACAAGGACTATAAAGAACTACAATCACAGGCAGTGCATGCCTGTAATCTCAACCCTCAGGAGGCTGAGGCAGGAGGATTGCTGCCATTTGGAGGCCCACCTGGGGGCCACAGAGTGAGTTCAAGACCAGCTTGAACTATACAGTAAGACCCAGTCTCAAAAACAACTACACCTCACAATAGCTAGTACTTTCTGTTATGTGGGATTGAGGGTCTCAGGCATGTTAGGCAACCACTGTACTATAAGCCACAACCCCAGCCCTAATAACTTAGTTCTAACCATACCATAGCATTACTGTGCTCACTTTCACTACAAACCTCAATAGAAATAAAGCTCAGAAAGAAAGGTGACTTATTTAAGGTGTATTTTACACAAAGTGGTGTATTTTAAAGCCAAGTTGCAAACCCAGAACCATTTACCTTCCGTTAGCATGTTTCTGTTTAACAGAAACTTATGAGTGCATACAAACATCTTCATAGCACTGAAGCCTAACCTAAAAATCCATTTCCGTGTCCTCCAACTCTTACCATTTTGCGAAGCTTAACCACCCGGGTACCGCCATTTTTGTCACCACCAACTGGTTTTGTGATAGTAGCAAGAACCTTCTCCTTCTTTTTCTTCTCAACCTACAAACACAAGTGCATCAGTAAGTCAGAGGCAGCCAAGTAAAGTTGAGAACTAATTTGCAGTAATTCCCCTCTTCCCTTACCTTGGATTTAGCAGCCGAGTACTTCCTCTTGTACAAAGCCTTTCTGGAATACATAGCAGATCGGGAGTATCTACCAATTCCTCTAACCAGGACAGGGTTTCGGCTGCAGTGGGGCTGCCCCTTCTTGGATTTTTTAGCCGTCTTCACATTTTTAACCGTGCCAGTGGCATCAGCCTTCTTGGCTTTAGGTTTCTCCTCTTTAGTACTGGGCTTCTCAGCTTTTTCACCTGCCATCTACCAGTTTAAAAAAAAAAGCATTTCATCAATTATCCCGTAACAAGGCATAGCTAAAGCTGTTCATAGATAGGCTGAGCTGTCCTACTACAAACCTTCTTCCCCTAAGATATGGTCTTTCCTCCAAAACTGCAGACTTCTTCCCTAAACCTCAGGTAGTTATGCCTTTAGTAAATATTTAGCGGGACTTATTCATGTTTTGCGAATTTGAAACCGCGAGACAATCTTTAACGGTGTCCAAAGCTAGGAAGCAGAGTCTAGAACTTGAAACCGCTTACTTTTAAAGCCTTTGGTCTTCTTTTTTTTTTTTTTTTTGGTACCGGGGGTCGAACTCGGGACCTTGCGCTTGCGAGGCAGGTGTCGGAACCACTGAGTTAAATCCCCAGCCCCCTGCTCTTAACTTTTAAGAACACCGTCTCATTCAAGAAATTCGGTTTAGAAGACCGAGACACTGCCCAAACGTGGCTAAAACTTCACCACCACGACAGAAACGCGACTTCCGGCTTTATTTCCGTGAGGAAGCAAAAGTTCTTGGCTAGTGCCACAAATCTCAACGTGGCTAAGGCAAGCTCAGAGACGCATTCTATAACCAGGGCCCAGGATTGCAGAGTATGCGCCATTGCTCTGCCCCTCTAGCCTCGTCAGCTCGCTGCGGCGTCTCTCAGGAGCCGCGCGTCCCGCCAACCTAAGCAGGTTGCGAGCAGCCGCGGAGCCTCTACTGCACACCATCTCACCCTCTTTGCTCCCCGCCGTCAACCCAGTCGAAAGAAATAAGGCGTCCAAGAGGCCTCTCAGATAACCCTGGGCATGTCCGACCCATGTAGGTATCGACTTAAAGTCCTCTGGTTTCGGATGGCGAAGGATTGAGGTCCTGGAATCGAGTCTCGTACAGAGGCCTGCCGTTCTTACCTTGCAAAATGGGAAAGAGAACTAAATTCCTGGCTTCCGGTCTATAAGCAATGACGGAAGGGATCGAGTCTTACTTACTTCCGGGTCAGGGACATCATGGGAAGTGTAGTTTTTCCTCTATCATAGCCAATGTAATATGTCCTGGTTAGGGAGCTCTGTGTCCTAGTAACAGGTAAAGGTAAGAACCGTTTATCTTAGTGTTTCATTTAAACTGGACGTGGTAGGGGTATGGGATTTAGCTCAGTGGTTTCGCCGCCTGCTGTGCCAAGCGCAAGGAGACCCGAGTTCGATCCCTGGAACCAAAAATAAATAAATAAGCTGGGCGTTGTGGCGCACTTCTGTAATCCCAGCACTGGAAAGGCTGAGGCAGAAGGATCTCAGCAAGTTCAAGGCCAGCCTGGGCTACACAGTGAAATCCTGTCTCAAAACAAATAAAAAATGACTTTTATCTTATAAACCACCAATTTTTTTTTAATTTTAAATTTTAAGAGCCGCTGGCTATCTGCGTGATAGCGTGCTTGGCTAACATGCTCAAGGCCCTGGGTCCAATAGCCCGTACTGGGGGGAAAAAATCACTGGCTTTTTAAAATTAATATTTAACCTTTAAACTTCTAAAGGTAGAATGAGCCAGATCAGGTATGTGCAGGGAAATAATTTCCCAATACTTCTCATGTAAATTCAAATTTTATATTCTTCTTTGCAATAAAACTGAATTTATTTATTTAATACTGGAATAGAATCTGAGGACTCTAGCTCTGAGCCATATCCCATCCCTTTTTATTTTTTTATTTCAAGACAGGGACTCACTATATAGCTCAAGCTGGCCTCCAACTCGTGATCCTCCTGCCTCAGTCTCCCTAGTGCTGGGATTACAGGTGAACAAGCTTATGTCTGAGTTGCAAAAATTCTCCGTTTCTTCTCTCTATTCCCCAGTTTGGTTTTGGCCACCCAATGAGACATAGGAAGCACCAGGACACCCTTTTCTTGCCTCTGTACTGAAAACCTTACAGAAGACAGTGACTATTTCAGGTCTGTCAAATAAATGCACAGATCAGAAAAATCTCAAAGTATTTCTGGAAACTGACTTAAAGTGATAATTTTTTGTTTGTTTGGTTTTTGAGACAGGGTCTTGCTACATAGTTAGGCTCTCTCAAGCTCATGGCGATCCTCCTTCCTGCCTCAGCCTCCCAAGTGCTGGGATTACAGGTGTGCGCCACAACTCCTGGCTAACAACTTTTTAAAAAAAACAGTAGCAAAGTTTTGTTAAAGATACGAAAAGAAACAGGGTCTGCAGAGCGAGTTTGGGCCAACTAAAAGTAGTAAAAAAGTATACCCTACAGCCAGCTATGGTGGCACACACCTATAATTTCAGCACTCAGGAGGCTGAGGCAGGAGGATTGCTGTGAGTTCAAGGCCAGCCTGGACTACATAGTGACTTCAAGGCCAGCCTGAGCTGGATAGTGAGATACTGTCCCCACCCCCCAAAAAAGTATACCCTACAGTATGAGGGTGGGCCACCATGCAAGGAAGAACAGTGTAAGCGCAAGGACCCGAGTTCAATCCCCGATACCAAACAAGAAAAAAAGAAAGAACACAGTGGTTTAAAGTGACAACTTTTAATTTTGCTGCCTGAGGACATTAGAAACACTGTAAGAAGCTGGACATGCCTGGTGGGCACACCTGGAATCAGCATTCTGAGAGGCTGAGACAAAAGGAACATGAATTTGAGCCCAGCCTGGGTTCAATCCCCACTACCACTGGTAAAAAAAAAAAAAAAGTTGCACTGCAAAGAATGCTTAGCAAGTGTGAGGCCCTGGGTTCAATCCCAGCCCTACAAAAAAATAAAGATGAAAGAGATCATTAACAAAGATGAAGAAAAAGAAATATTTTCTCATATTAAAATTAAAAAAATAATCGTTATCGTTTGAAAAAGAACATAACCCTTTGCTACTTCATAACACATAAAACAACACGTGTAATGTACACAAATAATGTATAAAAGAAATAAAGGGAAAAAAATCTGCCAGGGATTTTCACCTGGTAAATGCCCCCAAATGTTTGTTAAAAGACCAGCCACTGATATAAAAGCAAATCAACGCCCTCTTGTGTTTTGTTGTGGTATTGCAAAGCTCATGGTTCACGAGTTAAAATAGCATCAATATGTTGGTCATAGAGTGAACATTGTTAAGCACCTGGTTTTATCATATATAAAATGCTCGTTAATTCGTGCCCCGCTTTTATCACAAAGCAAATGTTTTAGCAGACACTGAAGCGTGATAAGTTTCAATAAAAGTTCCTCGTGAGGCAGGAATTTAAGATGAAAACACTGAGACCTGATTATAATGAAAACAAGTCCAGTAGGCATTTGCGCTGCAGGAGGGACACTGCCTTTGCCGTGTGGAAAGTGCTTGCTAGATGATAAGTCCTGGCACATCTGCTTTCTCATTTATAAAGCAGAGATGGACAGGCATGGTAGTGCAGCCTGTAATCCAGCACTCAGGGCCGGAAGCAGGAGGATCACCCTGAGTTTGTGGCCAGTCTGAGCTACATAGTGAGTTCAAGGCCACCCAGAACTGCACAGTGAGACCCTGTCTCATCTCAAATAATAATAATAATTATAAATAAAAATAAAACAGGATGGTATTGACAATATTGATAAGACCTCCTCCTTAAGTATTAATGTAAGGTCAACATAGTGATTTAGTCACTCAATAATTTTCTCATAAGGAAGTTTTTGGAAGCCCTATTTTTGGGGCAAAAACAAAGCAAAAACCCTCCTCAAACCCTGGAAATTAAATCTATATACCTATAAATGTAGATACAAGCTGGGCATGGTGGCGTACGCCTGTAATCCCAGCACTCGGGAGGCAGAGACAGGGGGATCGCCAGGAGTTCGAGGCCAGCTTGGGCTACAAAGTGAATTCAGGGCCAGCCTGAACATAAATGAGACCTTGTCTCAAAAAAAAAATGTAGATACAGACAGAAATACATGCACAGATATCCATGTATGTGCAAATACAAATATATACATGTTATGAATCATATACATATATATAAAGTTTAAAAAGTAAACTAGAAGCTAGGCATGATGGTGCACACCCAACATTCAGGAGGCTGAGGGAGGAGGGTCACCATGAGT